GGCCCCCAAAGACACGCCCCAGTCCCAAGCCCGGTCACCTGTGCATGCATGGGACTGTATTTAGGAAAAGGTCTGTGCAGGTGTGAGTAGGTGCAGGACCCAGGCGCCAGGCCATCCTGGATTCGGGGTGGCCGTGCCCGAGTGTCCCCATAAGAAAGGGGGAGGGTCGCCGGCCCCAGGGAGGGGTTGTGTGCTCGCAGGCGGGGGCTGGCACCGAGCCACGCCTGGCGACACCAGGAGCTGGAGGAGTCACCGAGGAGGGAGGGGGCCCTGCCGACACGCTGACGGTGACCTCTGGCCTCCGGACCCGTGGGAGAGCGCCTTTCTGTTGTTTCAAGCCTCCCGGTTCGGGTTCGTGTTTTGCGTCAGCTACGGGAGAGTCATTCGGGAGGGACAGCCGGGGATTAGTGGCGGGCGGGACGAGGATTGTGTCTAGGATTAGATGTTCTCGCCGGGTGTCAGGCGCGGGAGCCGGCTCTCACCGCGGGGCCCGGCGAGGCGTGACGGGAGACTCGGGCGGGCTCGGGGAACGGGGCTGTTGGGGGGGACGGCAGCCTTCGCCTCCCGCCCGGCCAGGCCACCTGCCTCCCCCCGGGCAGAGCACGCTGGGCGTGGCGTTCGCCTAAGGCGGCAGCATCTCACAAGGAGAAGGGAGCGCCCTGCTGTGTGGCCCCACCTGCCGACCTTGGAGACGCTCACACGGGAAGGAGGGACGGCCCAGGAGTGGGGTGCCATCCGCTGACTGTGGGGTGAGCACATCTCAAAGGCGGCGCCGGGAGGGAGCCCAGCGTCCAGACCCGGGGCGGGCGGCCCAGCCAGTGGGGACCATGGCAGAGCTCACGCCCCACCTGTGCCAGGTCCGGCGTCTCAGCGCCCTGCCAAGGAGCTGCTATTGCAGGCATTTTACAGATGAGAAAACTGAGGCTAACGGCCAGAGCTAAACACAGGGGTCCTCAAACTTTTTAAACAGGGGGCCAGTTCACCATCCCTCAGACCGTTGGAGAGTGCGCACTGTGGGCCCGGGACAAGCCGGCTACTAAGCAGGACAGGCAGCGGCGGCAAAAACACCCGGCGGACCGGATAAATGCCCTCGGTGGGCTGCATGTGGCCCAAGGGCCGCAGTTGGAGGACGCCTGGGGCTTAACCCTCCTTGCTCCGGGGCCAGATGGCCTGGCTGGACCTCTCTGGAGCCCCCTGCTCTCTGGCCTGGCCTGGCCCCCGACCCCCCCAGACCCCGCTGCACCCTGGCGCGAGCCCCCCTTACCTGATGACGAACCGGCTGGGGGCAGCAAGGTGACAGCGGTGACCTGCCGGCCGGGGAGGACAGGCGCAGTGGAGCTGGCCCTCCCCCGGGGGAATGGCCCCCAATGTGGCAACAGGGGGCTGGGGCACCTGAGGCCAGGCTGGGCTGTTTGTCGCATCACAAAGTCCTGCCCTGCGCCGGCCAGGGTGCCTGGCCAGCGGGGGAGGCCTCAGAGAGGCTGTGCGGGAGGGGCCCGGTCGAGCCCCGCTCCCGTCCTCCTCTGTGGCTTCCCCAGGGCAGCTGCGGCCTCAGGGGTAGCACCTTGAAAATGGGCACATCTCACCAAGGTGAGGCCGAGGGGCGGGCTGGGCTGCTTTGATGACAGGTGCATACGCGAGCACATAGTAGGTGCTCATTAAACACTCACTGAATGAGGTCCCTCGCCTGTGGACCTGTGCTCACAGGTGGCGGAGCAGGGCTCAAGCCCAGACCGACCTCGTCACCCAGGCCCTCTCTTGGGAGGCTGGGCTGGACGTTCCCACCTGCCCTGCCCCTTCCCTTGTGTACAGGAAACTCGCCTCCTCACTGGGGACGTCCCTGTTGGGCCCAGATTCCCAGCTTGCTGGACGGGACTTAGAAACAGCGAGAGCCACGCGGGCCCGGAACCTTGCTCTAGCAGAATAAGGACCAAGAGGCTGCAGGCCGTGGGGAGCTCTGAGCAGGACCCTCCTCGAGGGACAAAACCCCCTCAACTAGGCTTCTGTGTCCCCTGCCAGGGACTCACCGCCAACCGCCATGGCCGTTATTCCCCTGGGAGCTGCCCTTGCCGGGTGAGCCCCGCGAGAGGAGTGGGCGCCCCCTCTTCTCTGCTGCCCGCTCTCGGCTGCAATCCCCACCCCCAGGGCCACCTCCTACCCTGTCCCCACGTGGGCACCAGCGATTTGCCCCAGGACCCAGGGTGATAAAGAGACCACACATCCTGGGGAGACGAGCTGGCGGGTGTCAGAAACACGCTGCGCACGTGGGACGGGCCCCGGGCACCGGGGCCTCTGGGAGAGGCGTCCTTTGCGGACCGTGATGGGGCACTCGGCGTCCCTACCGACTGCAGCTCTCTGGGCAGAGCCTCGGAAGCAAAGTCACAGATCACAGCTCGTTCCAAGAGGCGCCTGGAGCCAGCAGCATCCGGAAGCTGGGCCCCCCCGCAGGGCAGACATGGGGAGGGAGAAGGAGAAGGCTGCCCGGGCCCCAGGGTTGCCGCTGCCGTGTGGAGGGGCCCACGACCTGCCTTCTCGACGTTTCCAAGCTGTGTTGACCAGGCAGCCGCAGAAGCCCTCACTTGGAAACGCCAGCACGAAGCATCGTCCATTAGGAGAACACATAGTGCTGGCTTGCGTTTGTTTCGTACGTTAAAGCGGATGTGTGTATTTGCCGGAAACTCAGATCTGGATCCTAGGAAAGTGTGTTCCGGCGTCTGGCCTCCTTTGCGATGACGAAGTCGAGAGAGAACTTGGTGAGGCGAGGTGTGGTTTGCGCGCGCCGGAGGGTCAGCCCGGTGTCACAGCTGACCGTGTGGCCCGCGGTGTTTCTCGGCTGAGTAACCAAGCCGGCCCGGGGAGCTCGTAAATCACACGGCCACCGTGTGCAAGCCGCACTTGGCTACTCGAGAGCCTCTTGGATTCCCGTGCTCGGAAGGGAAGGGCGGGACGCTCCGACCGGAGAGTTTCTCCCCCGACCTCATCTCTCCGCCCGCTCAAAGCCTCCCTCCCTCCGGAGCGGCGTCTGCCTCTGCTGGTGACGGCACTGCCAGCCACCCCACCGGGCATTTGGACACCGTGGCCTGTTTCTAGGGCGTGAAGCGGGAGATGTGGAGAGAGTTTCTCCGGGGCTTGCACGGTGGCAGTGCGAGAGTGGGCGCTCGGTCTGGGCCCGTCTTGCTGCGACATGCCCAGCGTGGGTCCCTGGGCAGGGCCCCCTCCCGCCTGGGTCCACGGCCAGCACCGATCGGTGTCCTCGTTGCTACAGCACTGGAGGGTGGCGGCCACACAATCCCAAGGCCGCGGGTAAAAATCTTAACTCTCAGCCCCAGGGCAGTTGGGGGGATTGCAGACGCCGGACACGGGAGGCGTGAGACATCCGCTGCCGGTGTGTTCCGAAGCCGGTGTGTTCCGAAGCCAGCTTGTTTCTGTGGCTTGTTGTGCCAATCGGTGGCCCAGCCGTGCTGGGGGCCACCCTCCTCATGGTCACGGAGGGACGTCCCTCCCAGTTCTGAGTTCTCCTGGGCTTTCGAGGACACATCTAAGGAAGCGACTGCCTTAGATGAGCGCAAAGGAAAAGTTCGCTGTGTGTGTCCAGGGACAAAAGCCTCCCGAGTACGGCCCAAGGAGCGAGATACGCAATCATCTGGGGGCTCTTAGCTGGAGCCACCGTCTCACTTGGTCCTTTTCCAACTCTCGCTCTTTCACAAGTCATCTGAGGACTTTTTGAACCTTCAGAAAGTCCGTTCGGTAGTTAGTATACCTTTAACACTCCCTGACATTTATTGACCTTGCAGAGAGAAAGTGACTGTTTATAGCTGAAATTTAATAGTGTTGTTTTTGCTCTTGTGTTTTTTGCTCTTAACTGCTATTTAATGGCAAGAAATACCGAGTTTTTACTTATGGCAGCGACATAAAAAAGTTGTGCCAGTGGCCAGCACATGCCTGCCGTCTGGGCCCCAGGGCCCCTGTGTTCGTGGGATTTGGGATTGTGATCTGGGCTCCTTGCCTGAAGGGAAGTCACGCCCGCAGTCTGTCTGCACTGAGACCCACCTGAGGGACAGAAGAGGGGGGGGGGGTCCTCTGGGATTTGCAGATGACCACACTCCTGCTGCTCTGCAAATGACCCCGCAAGGAAGAGCTGCTTGCTCGGGCTCTGAGCCCGGGTCCAGCGCCTGGGTGGGGCGTTTCCTGGGAAGAACCTGGCGCTGCGCCCACGTGCAGGAGGGAGGGCGGCGGCGGCGGCTCGGGAGCGCCATCTGGTGGCAGCAGGGTGCACCGCACCGTGAGCACTGAGAGGCCCTCTAGCAGGTGACCACGGCCCCCAAGCTGGGAGAGCGAGTAGTGGGGATGGGACTTCGCCAGGCAGTCCGGGGATGCCCCCTGGGGAGGGGGAGAGCACTGTCTGTGCAGGGGGGAGGGCAGCCCATGTGCTGGGCAGGGAGGACGCGGCTGGAGAGACCCCCTAAGGGAAGGATGTTCTGGCCAAGGGTGGGAGAGGACAGGGGTGGGGGAGGGGCTCAGAGAAGACACGAGTGGCCCACGGGCCTGGCTGGATTCAGCTGCTCAGAGGTCACTGCGGCGGCCCTCAGCGAGCACTGGCAAGCAGAGGAGGCACCGTGAGCCCCGCTGGGTGGCCTCCCGCGGGAGGGGGGACACGGAGAGTGGGAACGGCCAGTGGTCTCTGGAGCAGCACCCACGTGCCTACTTCCTCCCCCACAACTGCTGGCATCTTTGGAGGCAGCTCTGGTCTCGCTCCCTCCTGCCAGAGCTGTCAAGACAGCACCGTGTTCCTCCCAGGGCGCGCCGTCTGAGCAGCAGCCAGGACGATTGCATCTGTTCAACGGACCGAAAACCTTTCCTGAGCCCACACCACGTGCCAGGCGCTGCAGCAAGGTTTACAGTGACAGACTCGAAAGAACGAGCCGGGGTATCACGGCCTTTGTCGCAGGAGGCGTCAGAACCAAGCCTTCCTCCCAGGTGGGAGACTGCCTGCCCCACCTGCCTCCCTCCTGGGAACTGTCTCAGGCACTCATCTCGGAGAGTGGACCTGAACTCTGGAGCACCAGAGACGTCTGCTTCCGGCTGGACCCATCCCATGGCCGGCTTCCCCATGTGCAAACTGGACCAACCGTCGTCCCCACCGTGGCCAAGGCTGAGTCTGGGGTAGTGAGAGTCCAGGCACCCGGGGAGCCCATCTCTGGGGTGGCAGAGCTGTGGGCAGCCCTTGTCCCTCAGCGAGGGCCAGACCGGGCGCAGGCCGGGGCAGGGGGGCCCTGCGTGCAGCAGCCCCGGCTCCTGCTCCTCCCGGGCCCGGCTGGCCCTCTCGGGCTTGGCCTCTCTGCTTTCACCGGAGCTGGGCCCCCGTTGCTGGCAGCCGAGGGCTCCGACCAGTCCGGCCAGCGCTGTGCATGCTCCAGTTTCACAGACAACGCAAGAGCCTGGGACGGTCTTTCCGAGGACCCCCGCCCCCCGCCCCAGATGCCAGCATCTTGCCTTCCTCTTGTCCTGCAAGGCTGCCCCTCTGACCTTCCTCACTCCCCTCTGAAGCTTGCCAAAGTGAGCCACTTGCCTGGTTCTCCCGGCTGGGCTTCTCTCCTCTGGGCCTTCGCTGCTGTGGCTGTCCCCCCTCTGGCAGGAGGCAGAGCAGTGGCAGCAAAAGGTGACCCGGGTGCAGGTCAGGCCTGGGTTTGGGCCCAGCTCCGCCCCCACCAGCTGCCAGGCCCAGTCTGAGCCCGTGTGCTCATCTGTAAATGATGTAAATGAGAAACACTCGTGCTGGCTTCGGGCTGGATACAGAGGGGCACGAGACCCTCTAGGTAAGGAAAGGAACACCTGGCCTGAAGCAGAGCCCCCATAAATGGTGTTTCTGCCTTCCTGCCTCAGATGTTGAGAGCTAGCTAGGTGAGAAATGCAAATGCAATTTGGAAACAAAACAAAGAAGAGAAAGAGATCTGGGGTCACCTGCCGATTTTGCTGAATTGCAAATAATGCTTGCAAATAATGCAGCGACTTTCTGAGATCACTGGGCAGATTTTGTTTCTCAGATCAAAACGAACTTCATATTCCCATGAATGCTTCAAAATCCGATTAAAAATCACAGAGGTGTACACTCAATTTAGATCTTAAATACACCTTACATTTAATTTCGAACAGAGCCCAGAATAAGCTGATGCTTGCAAAAAGCATGGAGATTTCCCCCCTCTTTTGAAGCGACATACAGAACAAGGAGGCAGGGACCCCCACCCCTGCAGGGTAGTGCCAGCCCCCGGGGAAAGAGGAGGTCAGGGTCAAACCCTTGGAGGGAAGGAGGGGGAGGGACAGACAGAGGAGGACAGAGCAGCCTCAGAGTGACCCGGACTCTGGGCCCCTCTCTACAGCGTGGGCGCCGCGTAGTCACGGGGTCGTGAGGCTCCCACTCCCAGCCCCCTCCTCCCTCCCGAGGGAACAAATTAGCCATCTCGTAGAAACTGGGAACAGGAGCCAGAAAACCAACCACCATTTGAATACACAAATAAGAGGACAACAGATCCCAGAACGTTCGTGCAGGCACGTGTGACCGTGGTGCCCGGAGTCCAGCTGTAGGAGCATTTGTACCGATGACACAAATGCTGTGCCTGCCAGGGGCTCCTTTGAGCCTCTCAGCATGGGGTGGGGGGGTAGGTACTATGGTTACCATGGTTACCCTCTTTCAAAGAGGACACAGATGCAAAGTGAAGACAGGTCACCTGCTCCAGGCCACCCAGCTGGGAGTGGCGGCAGGATTTGAACTGGCTGGAACCAAAGCCTGTGACTCCCACCGTTATGCCCTGCGCTGCCTTTCAGAAGAAAAGGGGACCGAGGATAAATCAGAGCAGGTGAACCCCGAGTTCACTGGTACCCCTGGAGCCTGAACCCCGGCAGGGCCCAGGCCTGAGCCTTTGGTGACACCCCCGTGGGTGCGATGGAGGGGGCTGGGGCCTGTCTGACCCTGTGGCTCTGAGAGGCGAGGAGAGCTGGGACTTGGGTGCAGGAGGAGGGGAGCGGAGGAAGGTTCCAGAGTGCGGAGGTCATGCCTCGGACTGGGTAGGGGACACTGGGGAGGAGCAAGCTCTGTGCCAGGGTAGGGTGTGGCTTCAGCCTTGTACTTGGGACCCGGTGGAAACTTAACTGATAATACTAATGATAACAACTTACCCTGCACCTCCTGTGAGCCAGCCACACGGCCGGGCACATCGCAGAGGAAGACTCTGTGGTCAGTGGCTGCCTGGCGCGCCCCTGAGAGCAAGCGGGATGGCAACCAGGCCTGAAAGACTGAGCACCTGCCCTCCCGGCCACTGTGTGCTCACTGTGATGATTCACCTGGGCGTTGGGTGGCTCCCTCCTGTAGGATGTACATTCTGAACTCTAGGGCCCAGTGAGTCACCCTCTGTCTCCTTCAGACCTGGCCACCGTCCGAGTTGGCCTCCCGCTCTGCTGTGGTCACTCACCATGGGGAGGGTGGCGTACACGGGGGACCCCGTCATCCCGCAGGGAGACTGGGGAACCAGAAGCCACCTTCTGCCCTCGCAGGGGCCCCAGGGTGAGCGCGAGCAGCACACACAGGGGCTTCCCATAACGCACGTCAGTGAGGCGCGTGCGGCTCGGTGCAGCATGAGGAGCCATCGCAGGCCTCCCTCCCGCAGCGGTGTGGACTGAGCCACAGAGAGGGGACGTCAGCACACCCACCCTCCCTCCTTCCACCCACCCACCGTCCCGTCTTCCCTGAGCGACTGTGAACGCAAAGCACTGTAAGCAGTTAGCAAAGCTAGGCAGCCGCCGCTGATGGTGGCAGCTGGGTGACGGGTACATAGGGCCACTATAGTGACTATGATCTCTCCCTACTTCTGTGCGTGTTTGAAATTTTCCATAGCAAGAGGTTAAAGGAAGAGATGAGGTGTGAAATGTGGGTGCAGGGAGCTGCAGTCTCGGGGCGCCTGCCGCGCCGGCTCTTCCCGAGCTCCCCGGGAGACAGTGGTCTCAGCCCGGGAGGCCCTGGCGCGGCAGTGACCAGACCCGGCAGGCTGGGCGGGGCTCGGGGACCAGGACGGGCGCGGGCTGGGGCCCTCCTGGGCATCTCAGGCCTCCGCCTGCTGGACAGGGCTCGCCCTGAGGGACAAAGTTCTGGCTGCGTTTGTCTTTCACACAGCTGGCAGGCGGCAGCCCCGGCCGGGGAGGTCCGCTTCTACCCCAACAGAGCTGGCTCCGCGAACAGCAGCGGCGGGAGGTCAAGGAGCTCCCCGGAACTGCAAAACAAAACCCAACAGCGAAACCCCCCAAAACAAGAAGACCGCGCACGGTGCGTGCGTTCTCCCGGGGCAAGGCCATTCTGGAACACATTCCGGAACGTGTGATCTCCCCACGACATCTCGGAGGCGAAGGGGCAAAACACACGAGATGGCTGGTCATCTTTAAGATCTAGGCCAACGGCTGAGAAAGACGACTGTACGGCCGAGGCAGGTCTCAGGACGGACGAGGGTCTGGGGACACCTGCCTGCAGAAGTGGGGCCCGGCAGGCTGTCAGGGCCCTGGGCGGCTGGCCCGTGAGCAGTTCCAGCGCCCCGGGGCCTCCCCAGTCAGCCCCGAGCACCCCGAGGAGGCACCAGACCGCTGCCACGGGGGCTCAGAGAAGCGAAAATCCCAGTGGCCACCGTCACACCGTCTGTTACGAGGCAACGTGTCCCACACAGATGACAGCAGAGAAGGACCCTGAACGGATCTTAAAGATGAAAAATGAAGGTAAGGGGACCTGTCTGCCTGAGGACAGCGAAGGCACCGCAACCTCAGATGCGCGTGGGCACACAGACACGCGCACACGCAGACACACGCACAGACACGCACTGACAGACAGACTCTCCTTCCTCCCACGGCCACAGCTGTCCTGCATCTTTCTCACCCCACACGCTCCGGCCCCTTCCCAGAACACCCAGCACCCCCAAGGGCTGGCTGGGGACCCCCGCAACGAACAGCTGACATCTCAGAGCCGACTCCAGCCTTAGCAGTCTCTAAATCCTAAAGGCGACCACGATGAAATAATCGCGTTTAATGCTTTACAGAACAAACTTGTTCTTTACTATCCAGTTCACTGTGAACTCGAATCCCTACAATTTTAGAGTCCATAATCCAACGCAGGCCTCAAGCAGCAACAGCTTCTGTGTTCAGTGATTAAACCCGATACCTCTGTGCAAAGTCGCAAGCCCTTTCATGTGTTTATGAGCTTCAAAGTGTAAAATTTAACTGGGAAAACACAGCACAGCCCTATATCCCTTTTTGTGTGGCATGGAGAAAAAATGGCCAAAGCAATCGCTGCCAAATTACATTCTAGAAGCTCGAAGTCAAATCCGTTCTCCTCTGGACCGCTCGCCCTGGTCCTCGGGAGGCTGACAGACCTGCCCTGGGGGGACGACCGTGGAGCGTCCTGAACACGCAGGTGCCCCAGCGCCAGCCCCGGGCAGGGGGCCGGGCCGAGGGCCACAGCAGAATCTCCGCAGAGAGCACAGCGACCCCGCCCGGTCCGCGTGCACCTGCGCCGGGCCGTGCGTCTTCCCCAGGGCAGCAGCCAGAGGCCGCGGGTCAACTCTGGCTTCACTCAGAGAGCCCGTTCTGATGCACGCCCCCGCCCCGCCCTGCAAGGTCTCCTTCCCGAGCCCTGGGCCGGGGCGCGGGCGTCGGGGGAGGCCTCCTCCTACAGCTTGCTGTTCTTCTGGAACTGGGCCACCAGGCTGAGGACCTGCTCGGAGGCCTTGATGCTCTTGGAGCCGAGGTAGGCGGTGCTGTTGGGGCCCGTCTCGTCCAGGTAGTAGCGGTAGTTGACCATCAGGCCGCACGAGCCGCTCAGGCCTTTCGGGCTGGTGTCCGCCATCCAGTTGATGCGCCACATCACCGCCCCGTTCTGCAGGTGGAAGTTGGCCACGGGGTTCAGGGCGTAGCCTCGGTGCTTCTCCCCGTACAGGTACCAGGCGCAGAGCCGCATGAGCGGGGCCTGCAGCGCCCGGACCAGCTTCTCGGACTTGGCCCACTCGCTGCTGCCGAGAAGGGCCTTGAGCGTCTCGCTGGCGGGGCCCCCGGTGAGCTCGGAGAGCTCGCGGCATTCCGAGTCTGTGAGGAGCTCGCTCCTCCCCAGCTCTCTCGTCTGAGAGTTCAGAAGCCCCAGAAGCCATTTGGTGAACCCAGGTATAGGCGACAGACTCGAGAACGTCCCCAGGTGAGGAAAGTCTTTCTGTAAAGCATGGGGTGGCGGGAGGGGGGCGGAGAAAACACACAAGTTCAGCAGGCGTGTCACCCACACGGGACAGCTCTCCACTTACGGTCCACGTGTCACTGGCCTTTGTGTGCTGCCGCCTAGCAAAGGGACACTGGCAAAGGGACGCTGGGTACGCGCCACTTTTCTCCTTTCAAGGAACATGTATTAGGAACCTGACGTGTGCCAGGCCCTGGAGGCACCTTGAGTCCCCAAGACAAGGTGTCTCTGCCCCGACCATCGCCATGTTGGCACAACAGAGACCCAAGTCGGGGGACTTGCTTAAGACCAGGGAACCGACCACTGCGAGGTGGGACCTGGCCGTTTCTGATGCCAGAGCCTGTCTTTGTGTCACACCAGGCCCCCGCCGTGGTGCCTGGCACACAAATGCCCGGTGACTGGTGGATGGATGAGCGAGGGGGAGCGGAGGGGAGGCTGCGGGCATTTTCCCACATCACACGACTCGGTTCAGCCATTATTGCTCAATAGAGCAATCATATAATTACTGCTCAACTATATACAAACCCGCAACACGATCTCCATCGATCCCCATCCCTCAAGAACTTCGCGCTATTCTCCTGTCTTATATCCAACTGACCATACATGCTCCACTATATCAGCCCGGACAACAAATTTTTAAAAATATCAGGCAGAAAGAATACCATCACACTCCACTATCTTGAGTAAACCACACTCTCATAGGCTGAGAAATTACAATTCTCTCTGGCTTCCCTATGCAATGTTTTAGCGCACAGACACTTATTTGATCTATGCATTACGGTCTTATATCATCGGAGGCCAGCTTTTTCATCATCATCGGCAAATGCATCAAACTAAAACATCTTAACACAGAGTATATTGAAGATTAAAACGACTATACTGACACCTCACTGGATTCTGCGCTAGTCCGAATTCTTCTCACAGACATTTTATATGGCTCTTTCCAGTCTTTTGCTCGTATACATCCCAGGGCACACTTCCGAGAGCAGCAGATTAGAGGGGCGACACCAGCTTATCCCTTCCAGATTCTTGATGACTATATTCAGCTCACGCTGGTGCCAGGCCAACGTACACGCGTCGAACAGCGGGGTTACAGTGCGTGTTCAGAAACATCTCGTGGGTGGGCGGTTTACCCCAGACCTGGGATCCTGCCCTCCTCATCCGTTTGCCCTTTACCTATCCGCTCCAACCTACTGTCATTCTCACCTTCACAAAGAGGAAATTGCGAGCTCTGTTAATCACCACCGCTGCTCTTACACCCTGGGGAGAACCGATGGAGAGTCGATAATCCAGAAGCTGCACCAATCACAGACTGAACCCTGCGCTCTCACATTATAAATCTGTGACCGCAATCTATACAAACATGCAAACATTAACCCACTCTCGTTTCGTGAGAGGACGCGCCGGCCGCACACCCCGTCTGCGGCACCTATTACACCGGCGCCAGGCGAGCGCACCCCTGCCAGCCCAATTACTATCATCCAGCCGTTTATACCTTTAATCAATATAGACATCTCCTACTCTTTGTATCTCCGTCCAACCCGCCAGTCTGAGCGCGAGATCATGTTTTCGAAAGCATAAAGGCCAGAGCGATACCTGCCGGTATGCTACGCTGCAGGATGCCCGACGGGCCATCCGGCACTATCCAGCTTTCTCTGTTAGTTCATGTCTTGCAGACAGCAAACGAGCAAGGGAGCCCTGGGTCAGTATCCACCACTGCCACTTGCCTTCGAAGCGCCGGTCTAACTCTGCCCCCTCGGGGACCCTGGGGGTGCTCGGGCGGCGGAGGCGACGCGAAGGCAGGCGTGGCTAGGAGCACCGCTGCATCATGCCAGCTGGGACGGCAGAGACGACACAAAAACGAGACCAGGGCGCTTCTGGGCAAAAGCCAGATGAGTCACCTCAAGCAGACGCACGTGCCTCAGCCAGGGGACCACTTCGGCAGCAACCGAGAAGCTGGATCTACGATGACTCGTTTCCTCGGAGGCACCATTCTCATCTCTCTTCGGACGTCTCGTGGCTCTGGGACTTGCCGAGGGCCATCCCCGCGTTCACTTTCCTTCCTCACTGTCCTTTCAGTTCCTGTCCTGCACCCCCGTGTGCCTAGAGTAGCCGTGGAAGGCCTTGCCACACCACTCAATCCACAATGACTCCCCACGGGTTCCGCCGACGACGGCCCGCGCACAGTTGAGCGAGAGCAGGGCCCGGCTGCAGGCGCGTCCGCTCCGGCGGGCTTACCTGCTAGCTCCTTGATGACTCGCTTCACAGGACGTTCCAACAGCTCCACCCCCTGCAGTCTGCTGGCCAGTGATGGACATAAAAGATGCCGGACCGCGATTCCTGTTTCTCCTCGCTCATCGGCACCGAGGCATCCTTCACTATCCGCCTGCAAGGCCACGACGGGGGGCCTCTGTAGAGGGCTGAGCCGCCCAGCTCACGGTCACACCCGCTATCCGACTGGGCATTAGGAAATTTCAGGGATATCAAAAGACACTGTTATTTCTTTGAAACTCTCTGCAGGGAGCGCGACAACGACCTCCCAGGTTGTCTGCTTCAGCGCTGTGTCAGCTCCTACCTGTTTTGAAGATAAGCCGCGCAAACGCTCTGCTGAAGACGCAAGTTTATTCTTTTGCTCTTTTTTAGGCTTCGGTGCAAACAGAAACTTTGCTCCGTGACTGGCCCTAAACCTCCAATGACATCCAACAGTCGACCCCGTGTTGAGAGCAAATAGCGCCAGTTTTGCCAGTTTTCTTTAAAGGCTGCTTTTCCCTTGCAGATTATTTCTGCTACCCTTTTCCTCGTAACCCTATTTTTTCAAAAATGGCTTTTTCTTCCATTCCAACAGGCATATCCAGCTCCTATATATATTTTCCTGTTTAGGCAGCAACTTTACCTTTTATGACTTTATTACATAACTTTTCCTTGATTTTGTGCCAACATCCTTTGTTTTCCTCCGTCCAAGACAACATGACATCAGCACAGACACACAGGCATGCTAAAAAAGCGCTTACACTGGAAAGTACGCTGAATCTCGATCTTACTGTCTTCTTTTTTGAAGACAGAGTCTCACTTTGCCCAAAAAAGTAAGAAGAGATCACATCACAAACATCACAGACACACATCAAAGCTGGGATCAAGCAGACAACAATCCACACACATAAACACTCAGAATACAAAACGAGTAGCCTGCGGACTACCAGCGCACTCGCGCCAACCCATCGCCCGCTACAGTTTTTCATATATACGTTGAGGTTGGCAACTTAATTATCTTTTATTTATAAACGTCGGAGGACGGGGCTCGCTCCTTGCTTCAGGCTGTTCGACCAACTCCTGCTCGAGCACTCCGCCCCCCTCCGCTCCCAGAGAGCTAGGATGACAGGCGTGAGCCACCGCGCCCTGCCTTACTGTCATATTTGATTGCATGGGTTTTTGAGCCCTAGTACTCTGAAGCTCACTTGAGAATGGTGGAATAGCAGGTCGTCACCTTTGGGTTTGCTTCAAGGCAGGCACACCAGCTTGCTGTTGAAGGACACATTAGAACCCCTTAACCAAGCCTCAGCGTTCGCTTCTACCAGCTATGTTTGATTCTTGAAGCAGGAGTGTTTAGCCCAGAGCCCTGGATGGGGTCTAGAGGTCCACAAACTTTCTATGGTTGTATGGAACATGCACCTATCTGCCCGGGGGAAAACCCAGCTTTCAGCTCCTTCAGGTTCTCAACAGGGTCAGTGATAACCTTTCCTGCTGCCAAGAAAGCGGGGAGGCTCACGAGGCAGGGGTGACCCTCTGCGGCCGTGCCGGGCCTCGCCCTGCACTGTCTGATGGAGGAGTTCCAGGGCTCACAGAGCAGGGCCCGCTTCGCATCGCTCCTCACCTTCACCTCGTCAGGTCACCCCCTTTGCTTTCCAACAAAGTCATCTTGCGGATCCTTATGCAAAAATTCCCAGCAATCTTTTTTTAAAGCTTTCAAAATAAAAACGAGTCTGTCTCCAGTTACTCAAACAAGGTATGTATAACGTCACAGAGGCACAAAATAAATGTATGAGAAGAAAGCACAAGTTACTCCAGAATCTAACACTCACGCGTGCTGTCGACCTTCTCGTGGACATCTTTGGGCCGTCTCTGGCTGTGGGTGTGTACATGCTTAAACATGCCTCTACATGTAGTGGTGCACACACGTGTGCTCACGTGCCCAAATGCACGTGCTCAATCCTACACAGCCAGAAGGCACCTTCCCCCGGGGGCGGCACATGGGCTGGGTCTGAGTCCTGCTTCCGCCCTCACTCGCTCCTTGACGGCGGGCAAGCTACTGACGCCCCTCAATCGTAGTTTCCCGTGTCTAAACTGCGGCCAATGATAGTAACACCTAAGTCACAGCCTGCTCCGAGCAGCAGCACATGAGACGTGCTCCGCAGACAGGATGGGCACACAGCATGTACTCAATAGATGTTATTAATATTAACATAATTGTTATAAATAATTATGACCACAGTACACATGCTATTCTGTAACCTGAATTTCTACTCAGCAGTAAGGCCAGGTTGGCTTTCCATGCAAAAAATATAAACCTATATCGATATTTAAATGCACGCAAAGGACGGCCGCGTTATCGTCTCCGGGCTTTAAAATCCGCAGAGGACGCTGTATGAGCAGTGGCCTGCACCCAGGTCTGAGTATCTCCCCGGGGTAAGTCCCGAAGAGTGGAATTTCCAGGGGGAAAGGAATGCATACTCGGCATGCATGCATTTAATACACGTTGCCAAACGGCCCTCGGAGGGGCTGTAATGACTTCTAGTTCTACCGACAGCCTGTGAGGGTGCGACTCCTCCAAACACAAAAATCCTAAGGGAATTAATTTCTCCCTGGTGATCAAGAACATCTGCCCATTTGCCCTCCTCAATCTCTCTAACTTCTCTGACTAGGAACCTCTGCCCGGGCACTCATCTTAAAACGTGTTTTTGTCCATTTGGATTCTGAACTGGCGACTCTGACCCCAGAGCTCTGGCTGCGTCCTCTTGCTCTGCGCACACCCACTGTGACCCGGGGGGTCTCAAGCTCCCCGTGCTACCTGTCTCTCCCTCCGCCAGCCCTGCTCTCCTGTGGCCAGACCCTGCGATGTGGCCCTGGCTCTCCTGCCCCCAGGGGCCTGCGCGACGGCCCAGACATCCTCGCCAGACCCCACAGGAGGCGGTCAGCTCGCCACGGAAGGGACCATCCAACACGACCTCCACTCCCAGGCTGCACCCTGGGAATAGGGGGCGGAACATCAGGTGTAGGGGGCGGAATATGTCATTCAATTTTTCAATCACGTATCTTTGGAACTCCTCGCAGGCACTTAACAAGTGTGGAAAAGCTGAACTGTGTGCATCCTTCTATCTTCTTCCCTCACAGCCACTTTCTGCCCCTACAGACTTCAACCGTGTCTCAGCTCACGCTCAGCACCGCCAGATGAGTACTCTCCTTGTTCCCGCACCGCCTACAGGCTGCACGTCTACCTTCTATGACTGCAGGTCTGGAGACTTTACCTACTCAACTGAAAAGTCCAAAACATTCTAACGCAATTCATTTTTTTAAAAAAGCGGACAAAACCAAGTTTAAAATGAAACAGCTTAAGGGGCGTCGCGGGATGCCTGTGTTGCCTGCAGGTACCTGGATGTTGCTGGTGATGTCGCCGGTCAGCGCCACGTGCAGGACGATCAGGGGCTCCCCCGGGGTGGAGCAGTGGGAGAAGAAGTAGCACCTCCGGTAAGGCCCGACGCGGCGCTTCAAGTCCATCCAGCTCTTGACGGGGTGCACGGCCTCGGACCTGGCGTGACGGCACACGGGGAGAGGACGTGTGTGACTCACAAGTTAGATCATGAGTGCTGACTCCTATCCATGTTATTCACTTTAGTGAAATGAATTATTTAAATACAGCTTTAATTGAGAAAATTAAAATTTTCTCAATTAATTGGGAAATTAATTGGGAAAATTAATTGGGAAATTTAAAGAAAATCATTTCAATGAGAGACGGCCCTGGCTGCAAGAACCACGATTTTACATACGAAATTGCGCTCTGATTCATAATACCGATTCTGAGAGCGGTTTGCGAGGCCCCCCGGGAAGCGTTCATGTGGCGGCAGAGAGTCACAAAGATCTAATCAAAGGCTTCTCCGCCGAACGTTCCGCGTCTTTTCTTTCCTTTGGATCTTTGTAGTTTGGGAGCAGCTGTCAGCGCTGCAAACGTCGCCGTATTCATCCCTGGGTTCCTTTTGTCTAGGCACCTCATCCAAACGCGGTTTTGTTTTCAGCGTGCGAAGTGGCAGCAGGCGCTATCAGCCCTTTGGATCTGTTACACTTCACATGGGACGTTTTTCAAACCTTAGAATCCACAGGACGGCACGGAACGTGAGGCCCTTAGGTAGAAAGAAGTCTCCAGGTCGTGCGGGCTGTGTCCTGGGTGTACTGTAATGACGCACGATATCGCTCATGGGGAGACTTTATCCGAGGGAGGACTTTTAGGAACTAGGTGACTAACTGCTGTTTTGCTTACTGGTGCAAACGCTTGGTCTGGTGAGTTACACGACCCTGACAACGGGGTCTCGGGAAGCCTTAGCGCGAGGCTGCTTGCTTCAAATACGAGAAACAAATAAGACCCCGCAGACGGAGCAGGTTCTGTTCGAGCTCTTTCCTCCTCCTCTGGGTATCCTGTGCCACGACAGCCACGGCGCTCGTGGGTACTGCGTTTGGATTCTACTGGGCTTGGAGTGCAATGTTCACGTGAACAGAGACTGGCTTTCAGCACATACGAAAACACGTAAATACATATGCATTATATATATATATACAAAGAAAAGAAAACCCTTGCTACTTACTCACTGACTCTCTGCAGCACCTCACACGAGGAATGCCAGGTGACGCGTTCCAGGTTCAGGAACCCTGAGGAAAACCACTCCGAGAGCATGCCTTTCAGCACCCCGTTCATCTCCTGAAAAGGAGAAGATGGAACATAGGCCTTCAAGCTGCGACAGATCAAGCCCGTCTCCGCGCGGTGGCCGGCACAGGAATCGAAACGCTTAAACACGACACGAGGGAAGACTGCACGGGGCGGTCTGCTGGGCAGCCGTTCCCCACACACCTCCATCAGACCCTCGTCTCACACCGAGTCAGCCTTCAAGCCAACTCTGCAGGCAGATGTGACTCCTTCAGTCTGTGACTTACCCGCATGGGAATACTCGATTCGAACTCGCCTGCCCAAATCAAATAATACGCTTCCGATTCCTCCGCCACAGTGAACACACTAGATACATAAAATTCACCTAACGATGAAAGATGCTCACAGGGAAACACGAACAGAGCACAGGGCTCGGGTCCTAACCCTGTCAGGAATACTCTTCCACGTGTTAAAACGTTATGGCTGCGTTATTAAACGTGCGCAGGGGAAGAGCCACCTGAGTGTCGCCCTGCACCAGCACAGCCGAACGTGGAGCAGCAGGAAGCTGCAGAGAGCCCGAGTGCAGAGGATGCCAGCAGCCTGTTTTCCCCAGTGTCTGTTTTCCACATTAACAGAAGCCTCATTTTTCGGCTAGGGACTCGGCCGCGCAGAGTGAAGACTGCACTGCAGCTGAGGACGGCCACGTGGCTGAGTTCTGGCTGATGAGTTGTAGGCAGAGGTATCCTGCCGCAGTTCTGGGGAACCCTGAAGTTGGCAGGATCATGCCCTTTCCCCTTTGGGCTGGAAGGCATGGGCATGATGGCTAGCATCATTTTGCAGATGAAGGTTTTCCAGGGCAGAGCACCAAGATCGAAATCTGGGTTCAGTGAGACCACCACAGAGCTGAACCAGGCTTGGGTGCCACCTCCAGACTCATACATGCCAGACAAACTTCTCTATCATTCAAACCACTTGTTACTTTGGATCTCTGTTACTCACAGATGAACTACACACTAACAGATACACTGAATGTTATAACAGTAAACAGCTCAGTACATCCAGTACAGAATTGACCTTCTCAATCTTTCTATAAGGATGATAAAGAACATGATGGACAGCACCTATAAAAAGCAGTTTTACAACAGCTGTAAAATTTTTATAGGACCATTTCACATTTTAATTCCTGTTAAAAGGTGAAAGGACTCAGAACTTAGTGACCTGAAGAAAAGTTACAGGTATGGGGTTGGCGGCTCAGGGAAGTTTCCAGAAGGATGTGAGATCATCTATCTTTGCACATTTAAGCACTAGGCGCTGAAGAGGCCACAGATTTGCCCTGTGTGACCCTGTGGGGCAGGGTAGGGCAAATCTAGGCCCAACTGGTAGAAATTATGGACAATCAGGCTTGGGCTGAAATTAATGTAAAGAATTTGTGAATAACTAGGGCTGTCCAGGGATGTCATGCTGAGACAGTGAATCTTACCACCGGAAGTGACCAACTACAGGGCCGACGGGAACTTGGATGAGCTGTTTTGAAAAGGACTTAAGCACCCGAGAGGAGGCTGCACCAGATGATCTTCGCAATTCCTTTTAACTCTAAACTCCGTAATCTCATCTCCTTTACTCAGCCGTACACTCTATATGGGCAGAGTCCATTTCTGATTCGTTTCTACAACTTCCAAAACAGTCACTAATGGATGGGTTATCAAATGAAAAAGAAAAAAATAATTAAAAGAATGGTGATTGGGAAGTAACACGAAGGGAGGATGAGAGCCCATTTGCTGGGCAACGTGAACGGCTCTTTATTAAACTGTATTTTCTTGCATTTGACTACAATGGCTCTTAATCTTCCTGGGTTCCTCTCGCACTCCTGGCTGTGTGCTAAAAACCACAGACCCTGTCCCCAGAAGAATGCACACACATCGGTGAAACTGTGCATACCGTTTTCTGGGGATCACGGACACCTTGGATACTTTATCTAGTGACCCACCCGGGGGGCCTGGGGACCCCAGGTTAGGGGCTTCTGCACTGAAGGGTCAAGAGGTGGACTGAGCTCTGTGTAAGGTGCCGGCATCTCTGTTACATTCGTGATAGGAAGCAGCCGGAAATACCTGGTTTCAGCATTAATCCAGTGTTCACTATGAGAGAAAGGGTTTGGCTGCCGAAAGCTCGCCCTCTGCA